AACTGAATACAGCAAAATGTAACCTTCAGGCAGTGAAACTACTAGAATAAATCAGACTAATGCTCTATAAAATCCAGCAACTGGTGTCAGGCTCTGGTCAGTACTTAGATGTGCTGAGGCAGGGTCTAAAAAACTCTGTTGTAGGAGATCTGAAGGCCTTTTGGTCCCAAATAATCGCCTATTATTTAAGTGTTAGCTAATGCTGTGAGGAAGCATTGCTTCCATTACATGTCATCTTTCTCTCTGGCCAGCCCCCAAGTCTATAGAAGACTGCTGTAAAGATGAAGGGAACGATTTCTTTTCCACATTGACATCCATTCATCATGGATGTGGTTTCCACATCATCACGGATGTGGAAACCACAACAGTGGGCTTAAATGACAGCAGTGGACTTAATTGGGCTGGGCTTTAGGAGAAACTCTCTACAGGATTGTAAATATTGGAATGGGCTCCTCAAGGAAACTGAACGATCTCCATCTCCAAAGAACTTTCAGAAGCAGTTAAATAAAAGTTTGCTGAAAATAAGGTGGATATTAGTTGTTGTACCATGGTGAAAGAAGTTGAACTTGATGTCTTAAAATAGATCTACTAGCTCTGTTTTTGTGAGTCTGTGTGATGATTTCCTTTTACTTGATTTTTTTATTAGTGTGATGACAGAACATATATTTATCGGGTAATCTTAAATGCTGATGCTTTGTTCTTAGCGTTGGTCTTGCTGTCAAGTCTGATTGATAGCAAGGCAATTCTGTCTACATCCAGTACTTTAGAAGTATGCTTTTCAACAGTAGTCTGACATCAGTTACAGTGTTTATTAGGTTATTGTGGACTTCAGTGAGCACAAGTTATGTCCCCGCTGAGATGAGAATTCACTTCAAAATGTTGGTGCTTACCAGTTTCCTTAGAAAAGGACAATTCAATAGGTAAAACGTCATGGCAAGTCATGTTAAAATGAAATTCCCTCCATCAGAAACCTTTCAGGAGTTTCAAATTCAGTTAGGGGATATCAGAAAGAAATTAGAGTCTAAAATCCCCACCTAATCTTTTCAAAGTGGTTATTGCTTCTGGTCCACATATTGGCAAATCTTCCAGGAATAAGCCATTATTTGCCTTAAAAATACCTTTCTGGTCATGATGGAACTGTTCTTTTTGAAGAATGGATTTGTAGAAACTCCATGAAGAACAACCCAGATGCTCTTATTTCTTTATGACATCAGTGAGGCCAAAATTTCACCCAGAGAGTCTTCTTGGCATAAGGATATTTGGGGTGGACAGCATATTTCAAAGCTAAGGCACCTGCCTGGTGAAGTTCTGAGACGCTGCAAGGCCACTGGCCAGGGTTGATAGAAGCGTGCTCTGCTGCCTTTCACATTTGTTTTTCACTTTTGTTGATGGCACCACATCCCTGCCTGGCGTGATTCATGAAGAGGAGAGAACAAATGTGTGGCCATGGCAAATTAACAAATGAGCCATTAAAGCAGGAGGGTGCTCTACCTCTTCTCACCAATGCCTGCTTTGGTGCCCACAATGTCTCCTAGCAAAACAACATGAGAACAAGGATAAAGGGTTTTCAGAGATGCACTGCAAATGTGGTCCAAGTGCTGAGAAATCTCTGTGGCTCCTGCTGAGAGAAAACCTAACATCATTCATCAGCAGAGTAGAGAGCAAACCACTAATGGCTTTCCATCATATTTCTTGACAGGTATTGACAGGGGGCGGTTTTGGTCCCATCACAACAGAAATCCGGGAGGCTCCAGAGTTTTATTACGCTGAAGATTACCATCAGCAGTACCTCAGTAAGAACCCTGGCGGATACTGCGGCCTCGGGGGAACAGGGCTTTCCTGCCCTATTGGGATCAAGAAATAGCTTGTGCTTACTCCACTGCCTCTGCTTTGCTTTAGGGAATCTGAAAAAACACCGGCAACCCTGATAGATATAGCATGCCTGCATCATTAGTGCATAAAGATTTGGGAACTTGTTGGGGCGGCTTTCCATAATTTGAGCAGTTTCCCATTCACCAACATCATTAAATGCCAAAGCAGAGGCAGAAATTGCACCTGTTGGCAAATGCAGCTTCTTGCTCCATGCAGCTCATGGGTTTTCCTTGCAATGTTGTAATCTGGAGAGAAATTACTAAAAGTTTGGCTCAAAATGCTGTTAAAAAGATGAACTGGGATGTTATGGCACCTACTAAATGCTTTGCATAGCTAAGGCCTTCGGGTATGTTTATTTGCTTGGGTTAATAAATTTGCTTATGTTATGAGAGCTTTGACATGGAGACGTGGCTGGGCTCGTCTTAACTATCACAAACCTGTAATCTGATGTCTTTGAGAATGGTGAATTTGTAAGATCAGTGATTCTCTCACAATTAAATTTTCACAACATGTAATACCACCTATACTGCCTATTTTCTGAAATAATTTTAGTAAGAAAAAGTAAAAATTGTAATGTTCTTCCAAAAAGTGTATAAACACAAAAATAAACCTTTTTTTTTTCATTTCCTGCACTACAATAAATTACAAAAAAGAGAACAGAAAAATGTTGTCTGTGGTGTGTTCCATGGCTCTAAGTACATATCAGGGTAGATCTAAATGAAAGTATCAAATATAAAAGGCTGCAGCCTGCTAATCAAACACCAGGGCTTTTAAATCTGTATTATCATGCATGACAGTTCAGAGGAGTAGCATTGGTACTGGCCACACTGTAACATAATTATTCCTGTGATTAATTATTTGTACTTCAATAGCTTGTGGAGCCCCCACCAAGACCAGAGCTCATTACAGCAATTGCTGTGCAAACATAATGTCGGGCAGTCTCTGCTCCAGTGAGTGGATAGTCAAAATAGAAGGACAGACAGAAAGAGGAAAATAATCATCTTATTCATGGGGCTCCCAGAGTGGAGACTAAAAGCTACAGCCAATGGATGTAGAGAATACAGGAGTTAATCTGTATTGTTATGGGATCCAGTGGGTTATATGTATCCCATGGCAGAGAGTGGAATCTAGATGATCTTTAAAGTCCCTTTCAGCCCAAACCGTTCTATGTTTCTATGGTATATATGTTATGGAGTATCCTAGGACAAATAGCTTCAGTAGGAAGGATGCGGATGGGTTTGTCCTACCCATCCCAACATGCTGCTTGCAATACTTAGAGCAGTGAGAGGTGTGGGCTTGAGCTTCCCATATGTTTCCTGTTTTGGAGACTGTCTTCATCACTAAGTACATGTGTGTCCTCTTGCAGATGTGCTTTTTTCAGGGAAAGCTTGTAAAAGCCTGCCTTGGTATGTCAATTCTGGGCAGCAGAGCACATAAAGCCATTTCTGAGGGCTAGAGGTGGGACCCAGAGACAAAAATCCTTTTTTATTTTTCAGTTAGCTCTCCTTGGCACTCTGCTCCTTGGCATCTTGGTTTGATGTTTCCTGCTCAACAGCTCAGGTTTTAGTCTCAGAAAGGCCCAAAATATCTCCCTGAACATCTCCTGCAATGATGCAGCAGACCAGCTGTTGTTCCAAGCTTGGAGCAATTGAAAACATGCATCAGACAGTCTCCAGGCATGTAAATTCACTGCTGAAGTCCTGCCTGTTCTATCCAAAGACAAGCAGTAAGTGCCAGAGAAATTAGCTCCCCATCCTCCCTTGCTCCTCAGCTGATGCTGAGCTCATTCCAGTCTCAAAAGCCAGAGAAAACCTGTCCCTTTAGTAGATCTATACCTAGAGCAAGCTTGAGAGGAGCTACCACTGGCACAGTTGCCATGTTAGACTCTTTCCGGAGATGCCCCAAAATGGGCTTTCATCACACTCAGAATTTCCAGTTGCTGTGGTAACTGATTGCCTGTTCTTAACGTATTGTGACACTAAGGTGTTCTAGGACTCACTGTCAAGGAAACCAGCACTTCCATCTCATTTCCTAGGCATGAAGTGACATGAAAGCAAAGAAGAGAGGAAAGTAAAGTCTTCCTTAGACCCTGTGCATTTTTAACCTCTGCATAATTCAGACTTCAGGGGGGTAACTCATGATTTGTTCCAATGTACAGGCAAAACATTTCATATTCTGAATCATTTGTGTGATCATAAAATGTTTCTTGGTTCCCTTCTGTCCTTTCCCCTCCCTCCCATCCTACTCCACACTATAGTTACTGTTTTGAAACAGCTGGGATGTCTTTGGAGAAAACACCATTCTGTCCTTAATATAGCCAGGCTTAAGTCTTAACCTAGCTGAGGGTTTGGGTTTTTTCATTTGTCTTCATGGAAATAGTGTGTTGGTTTAGAAATCCACATGGATGGGCCCATTGTTGCTGAAATTTGCCACATCAGAATATTATGCCACCACAGAATTAATCATGGAGTTGCTGTAGGGTAGAGTTTTGGCCTTGATCCCTTGGAATTGCTGCTGAGGGTACAGTAATCCTATCAGTGATACTATCAGTAAAGTTGAAATGCTAATGATGCAGCCTCATGGATTATTTTTTTTTAAGCTGGATTTGGTCTTGTAAACCATCCTTGCCCACAGGGAAGAAGGGAGTAGCTGCTGCAACATCTTTTGACTTGTGACTGTTTGAAATTTACCCTACCACAGATCTGTATCTTTCTTCTGAGAACATAGACATGGTCTAAATGAAAAAGAGAAAATTAATTCAGATTTTCATAGGCTTCAGCACTTCTCAGAGTAGAAGATGAAAGCTGATGCAGGACCAGCATCTAGGGTCTTCAGAAAGAAGAACATGGTTCAAGATTCAAAAACTACTACAAGCACCCAAATCATGAAGTCCGCTACTGCAGTACCATGTGAAATTCAGTCCGGGATACAGACAGGAATTTCACTGCTGCCCTATCCCTATCATACCTAAATGAAATCCCAAGCCTCTTGGGAATCACTAACCTTTCCCTTACTGCCTGAGAAAAGACAGCATCCAGCGGTGATGTCATCAGAAACAATCTGATTGTGTGATGTCACATCCTGGTTGCCCCAGCAGAGATGTGTGTTGTCTCTGGTGAGAACATGGAATGGGGAAGATGTCCACTGCTGCGGAAGCATCACTGCTCTGTTGTCAGAACGTTGGTCCAAGACTGGGATTGCAATGCTGCTCTTTACCCTCCTTTGTTTAACTTTTCTGATCAGCGGCGTCAGTGCAGGTTTTTCTTCTCAAATTTTTATGTTCAGAAATGATGAGGAGAGCAGAACTGCTAGTAGCCCTACAGGATATACACCTATTGCTATATCAAACAGGACTGGGCTTATTCCTTATTTTTGGTGGAATACGTATGACTTAGACTACAGCCTGATGCTGAACTTCTCCACTCATAGTCCCTAAACAAGAATTTTATCCAGCCTGCCAATGGGAAACCATCGGTGGCCATGCTAGCCCCAAAGTGCCTGGGCATTGCTTGGCAGAGCGCAGTTTTGGGGTGGCTACAGTGATACCAAGGGCTTTGGATAAAGTAGCATGGACAATTACAGGCCAATGCTTTAGCTGATGTTCTGTTCTCTAGTTTTGTAGCACAGGCAGTGCCACTGCTGTACATGAGCAATATGTCTCATTTTGTTCCCAGAATGTGGCCTCCGACCATCTTACGAGTCCTTTCAGGGGACAGGCAAGAGGTTCACAAAGGGGAGATACGCCATAGAAGGGGAGTTCCCGTGGCATGTGAGCATCCAGAGCAATGGGAGACATGTCTGTGGAGGCACCATAATCAGCGTATTGTGGATTTTGACTGCAGCTCATTGCTTTGGAGAAGAGATGTGAGTATTGAGGGGAAGTGAGGACAGCCCAGGCACAGTGGGTTGATAACATTCCTCCTTGTGGGAGTAGGATATGAATGTCCTTGGGGTTAAGTGCAAGATAAATGTTACTGAGCCAGAAAGAGAGTCTTGAAAACAGGAATTGCTTCCTTTGGGGAAAACAGGATCATTTTTTATCAGAGGTAGAGGTACAACAGAAATGTGAATGAATCTGGATAACCAGGAGATGCAGAAGGGGAATATTTTAAAGGATGATCTGAGCAACCTTTTATAAATGCCTGTGATGCTGTCCTGATGGGCCCAAGCATTACCTGTTCTTAGGTTGCCCAGAGAAGCTGTGGCTGCCCCTTGCCTGGCAGTGCTCAAGGCCAGGTTGGATGGGGCTTTGAGCAACCTGGTCTAGTGGAAGGTGTCCCTGCCCATGGCAGGGGTTGGAACTGGATGAGCTTTAAGGTCCCTTCCAATCCAAACCATTCTGTGATTCTATGATTCTGTGTGTCTACACATGTTGCAGTACCTTATAAAAAGAGATGTATTCCATTACACCTTATTCTAACCCCCAAATTACTCTTGCTTTCATATAGCAAACACCTTTACTTTATGAAGAGTCTGATTTTAAAGCAGTAGCTTCTGGATAAATCAACCCCATGCACTGCTCAGAGGAAGGGTCAAGCCCTCTGTGAGCCCCTTCCAAACTTTGGCAGGTCTGAGAGCAGACTGCTCAGTCTGGAGCTGCCAAGCTAGGGCACCAGAGATCCACAATATTCAGCCCAAGCCATCTGTTCATTAGGAAGTGGGCTATTTATGACTTGGTTACACCTCTCTCCCCCGAAGATCAGCTTTGCCTAGAAGTGAAGGTAAATTTCTGCAATATTTATAGCTAACCTGCCTGTGAAATTTGCTGAGCACCACCCTACCCTGCTCAGGAGGCACCAACCTTTATAACACAAAGCCTATATGTTTGCTTATCCCTACCCTGCTTCTTTTTTGTTCATAAGGCCACCAGACCTCACTGTTTTAGTGGGGGGAACTGACCTCAGTGTCCCGCTGGAAGAACATAAGCCAGACAGCTTGATCATCCATGAAAAATTTGACAGAATGACCATGCAAAATGACATTGCTCTGATCCTGCTCAGCTCTCCCATTGAGTTCAGCAATGAGAAAATCCCTGTCTGCTTGCCCTTCATGCATGACATCAATACGTGGCAACACTGCTGGGTTGCAGGGTGGGGAACCACAAGTGCAGGTGAGATGCTGTCAGAAGATCTATTTTCTAATCATTTATCCGTTTAAAGTAAATGTTGTCTCACAGGAAGGATCACCCCCACTAACTTCCACTCTCTACCTCCCTGGTAAACACATCCAGACCCCTGCAGCCTCTGCACATCCACCAGTTCTCTGTTCAGTGCAACAGCAGTCGTGAAGTGACCGCCAGAGCAAAGTCCCTGGTACCCTGAGCATGTATATTCAAGCTGAAACCTTAGAGCCATCTTTGCTCTGCAGAAACTCAAACTTTCTTTGGATGCATATTTTGGCATCCAAAGTAAGACAAGCTCAACCCTGGTCAGCAAGTTAGACTGGGTCTATGCTGGTCTGAAGTAAGGGAAATGTGGGTGTAGGGTTATCTTTGGCTTAATGCCTTCCTGAACCAGATTGATTCAATGGTACTGGCCACCTCTCCTCTTTATTCATTCAGAAGAGCAGATTGCTGTTGCTAATTGTTTAAGCATTAATGAAAGTAGCTCCAGCACTTATTGTGACCCAAAACATCTATCCTGAACAAATGTTACTAAATGGCTAATAGGCGTTTTCATTATTGGAAAGAATTAATCAGGAAAGAGTGGGCAGGGTGGTGCCTTGAGGCTTTGACAGTCCTTTTTAGGATTTAGTAAGTGTCCTATTTAATCCTTGCTATTTTGCTCGAAAGGGTTACTGCCTTCTCTCTGAAACTGCATTTTCCTTCTTAGGCTTCATTTGCCTCACATAACTGTAATGCATAGCACAACACTATGTTACAGTTGTGAAACTCTCCCATTTCACCAAGGTAACACGCTCTTAGAAACAGAAAAGCAGGTGGCTGCTGCAGAGTCACTCTGCTGCTTGGCAGGATATCTCTTTAGCTAGGCTCTTTGCAAAATGCATGCCATGGCTCCAGATATCAGTCTCATGCTGCTGTGTGGGCACAGGCAACGTGGCTCCTGCTATCCAAATTGCACTCAGTGTGAGGTCAATGTGCTCAGCCCTGGCACACACCCCTTCTCTTCTGGAGGTGTTTCAGAAGAAACCAGCAGAAGCTGGGTTTGGTGAGAGGGATGTGTGATGGTGTGATATGGGCCATACAGAAAAGTATGAGGCGTTGTTCCTTAGCAGAGGAAAATTGGTCATTTCTGGTCTCTACCAGCCTTTTGTAGGTGGCACCTCAGGCAGCACTAGCCTGACTCCCCTTCAGCTGCAGTCAGACCTCAACAAGTACAGCCACCTCCTTGGAGATGCTTACCTCAAAGCACTTTAATCTGTTGGCACAATTCCAGGAGTGGCCCCATCTTAGCTTAGAAAGGGACCTGACAAATTTCTGTCTATTAGATCTTACCTTTGAGTTCCACCTTCCCAAAGGTGATGAAGAAATTCTTTAGGTCTCCCCAGCAGCAACATCCTCCAAAAGTCCATTTGTTCCTGAACAGGTTCACTTTAAAGAGGAGTGAGGGTGAAACGAGCGGCTTTTCCAAGTAGCCCTGCGTATTTTCAGTCTTTTTTGTCACTTGATGGTGCCTGATTTCTGTTTTCCCATCTGAAGGGAAAAATAAAGCAATTATTTCCATTTTATACCACCATCTTGAGAACCACTTTGTGGAATGTGCAGCTGGTGCCCTGTGTGAGGCACAGCCATCCAGGAGAGCATGGGGATAACAAGAGCATCTGTTCTGGGTAAAGCTCAGTGGACTTACCTCCACAGGGCTTGCACAGGACTCTGTGAAGAATCCCTCGAACTGAGCTCTCTGGAAATATGAGTGGGAAACCCAAGGTGAGCAGTGCAGCTTATCTCAGGTCATCACCAAGATGCACAGGATAAGCTATCCTTCGGGGGTCCTCCAGCTGTACCACATCCCAGAGTTCATCTACAAAATAAGTGATTTTTTAAATCACATTTAGCAAGCTTTCACTCCCCAGGATTTCAGCATTACCCATTAACACCTCCCCCCTTTCTACCTGCCTACCCACCTTCTAATCTGGTGTGAAGTCAAGAGCACAAACTTATCTTTGCCAACATTTGGAGAGCCTCTCTTAAGCCCCCATGACCCCAAGGCCATAGGGTTGTGGCCTGAGACCCTCTTGCCATGAGATGCTTTACAAATTCAGCTGAGGGCAGTCCCAAAGGCCAGTCTCTGGCTGTGGTTTCACGCTAACTAGTGGTTGCACACTTACTAGCTCTGCAGGTTTTGTTAATTGTTCTCTTTTCACTACCTTGTTAGCAATTGCAAGGCCAACATCCCACATGATGCAGAAAGCACCAGTGAAGCTCATCAGCAGGCAGCAGTGCTTGAAGAGTATCCCACAGCTAGTGGAGAACACGCTGTGTGCTGAGATGGAGAAAGGAAGAGGTGCTTGGCAGTCACAGGTAAAATAAACAGACATATGGATGGGCATGCTGCCTAGGAAGGGCACAGAGACACTGGAGGAGAGAGCCTTCACTTCAGGAATGAACAGTGATCATTCCCGTGGCTTCCTGGGATTGCTAAAGTTTCCCTGCAGGAGGCCAGAGCAGGATGCCCAGGGGCCAAGGAACTTCCTGCGAAGGTATATTGACCCACAATATTAGTGGTGGTAAATGGTACCACATCTAGCTGGCGATCAGTCACTAGTGATGTCCCTCAGGGCCCCTGTTTTTTAACACCTTCACTGATGATCTGGATGAGGGAATTGAGCGCATCCTCGGTAAATTTGCAGATGACATCAAGTTGGCTGGGATTGTTCATCTGCTGAAGGACAGGAGGGTTTGCAGAGGGATCTGGACAGGCTGGATCAGTGGGCTGTGGCCAATAGCATGCAATTCAACAAGGCAAAGTGCCAGGTCCTGCATTTGGGCCACAACAACCCCATGCAATGCTCCAGGCTTAGGGAAGAGGGGCTGGAAAACCGCTCTGCAAAAAAGGCCCTGGGGGTGCTGACTGATGGAGCTGAACATGATCCAGCTTGTGCCCAGGCAGCCAAGAAGGCCAACAGCATCCTGGCCTGTATCAGCAATAGTGTGGGCAGCAGGGCCAGGGCAGTGATCATCCCCCTGTGCTCAGCACTGCTGAGGCTCCACCTCTAATCCTGTGTTCACTTCTGGGCCCCTCACTACAAGAAAGACATTGAGGTGCTGGAGAAGGTCCAGAGAAGGTCCAGAGAAGGGCAGTGGAGCTGGTGAAGGCTCTGGAGCACAAGTCCTATGAGTAACAGCTGAGGGGACTGAGGGTATTTAGTCTGGAGAAGAAAAGGCTCAGGGGGAACCATATTGCTCTCTACAGCTACCTGAAAGGAGGTTGTAGTGAAGTGGGGCTGGTCTCTTCTCCTGAGTAACAAGCAATAGGACAAGAGGTAATGGCCTCAAGCTGATCCAGGGAAGGTTTTGATTGGGTATTAGGAAAAACTTCTTCACAGGGAGAGTACTGGAAGAGAGGCATTGAACAGGCTGCCCAGGGAAGTGGTGGAATCACTGTCCCTGGAAGTGTTAATAACTGTGTAGATGAAGCCTTCCAGTGGGTCTATGGTTTAGTGGTGGACTTGGCAGTCCTGGGGTTGGACTTGATGATATTAGAGGTCTTTTCCAACCTAGTTGATTCTATGATTCTATGATTTTATGATTCTCTGATTCTATGACCTAGACAGTGGGGGTGCAGGACTTTCTTTGAATATTAGAAATATTAGAAACGTTTCTCAGGGGAGGTCCTTGCTTTTATCCAAATGTCTTTTGCTAACGTGGCAAGTTAGCCTGTGGGTGCCAGAGCTAGTCACAACTTACTACAATGAGTTCATGATATGGGATTGTCCTGGGTTTAGCAGTAGCAGTCAATTTTTCTCCTTCTTGGTAGCTGGTGCAGTGCTGTGTTTTGACTTTCAGCCTGGGAACAGTGCTGATAATACCGATGTTTTCAGTTGTTGCTAAGTAATGTTTACCCTGACCAAGGACTTTGTGAGGGTCATGCTCTGCCAGGGAGGAGGGGAAGCTGGGAGGAAGCAGAGACAGGACCCCTGACCCAAACTAACCAAAGACGTATTCCATACCACAGCACGTCATACCCGGGGAGGGTAACTGGGAGTTACCCAGAAGGACACAGGGTCTTCTGGGTCGGATTTGTTTCTTGGCTGGTGGTATTGTATTCTCTTCCCTTGTTATTTTCTCTTATCATTGTTGTCGTTGGTGGTAGCGGTGGTGATTTGTGTTGTACATTGGTTGCTGGACTGTTCTTGTCTCAACCCGTGGGAGTTGCACTCTTTCGATCCTCCTCCCCATCCGTCTGGGAGCGGGGAAGGGGAGAGCGCTGGGGGGGGGGGCTCGATTGCTTCCAGCCCAGCACCACTCACTGGGAGTGAGTGAACAAGCTGTCTGGCTAGGGTTTAAACCACGACAGGGATGATGGACTTTTCAGGTGAAATGATAGAGTTTGAGCAGGGTTTGACATCAGGGAATACTAAGGGGAGAGAGCTGACATGAACACTCAAATGTGGGAAAACCTTACTCAGAACTTGTACCTCAGAACATATTCCACCTGTGGGATTGCTGTTCTGGTGTCAAACAGTCTGAAAGCCAAAAAATGCCTTTCATAGCATCCAGCCTTCAGTGGTAAGGACTGGGCTGCCCTGCAGCCTCTGCTTCAGGACTAAGAGCTCCATTGTCCACTAGGCAAAGGGTTTTCTTACACATCTGCATGTGTTTGCAGGGGGACAGATGGGCAGACGCATGTATACACAGCATTGTCCTGTAGTAATCATTTGCTGAGGGAACTAAAACAGCATCCAGGACAGAGAGGGATCCTCTGCCATTTAGGCAAAGACAGCAGGTACACAGACTGTGGACTGCAAAGCCATTGTGAGCTGACCTTGTAGCTGGGCAGCAGAGGGGAAGTTTCCTTTGCAGAATCATTTTTGATTAGCCAGAAAGCATCTGTCTCTGAAACCATTCATCTAGCAACTTTCACCTCCATTAAATTCAATCAAAAAATTTAAAAAGAAAACTGTCACAGGATAACATTAACATGATTAAAGAATGCACTTCCCAGCCCAGCCTTAAGTTCTGCAGCTGAATTATGCCGATGAAACAGCAAGAGCACTTGTACCCAGCAAAATGAATCGCCTGTATTCAGAAGGCTGATGAGGGTACTATTTTGATCTACAAAATGTTAGAATTGTCTGAGAAATGAACTAGAAATGTGAGCCTTCCAAGCAGTGGAAGTACACAATGATTGCATGTGTGATAATGCTCATAACCCAGCTACTGCCCACATTCAGAAGGTTGACAAGGCAGAAACGTCTTGCAACCTGAGGTAACAAGAGCAAGACAAAATCACACCCCAGGCTAGAAGTGGAACTCTTCAAGGAAGAAATAGGTGACTTCACCAGAATTCACTGATTTGCTGCAGGGGAAACATGTTGCTGATGGACAGTTTTCTGGGAAGTACTGATTGAAGTCAAGTAGAGCACACTGTGACCTTTCTAGGCTGGTTCAGAAATCCTGTGGCTTGTCCGTAGTAGGCTACCTGGTCATGAACTGGAAGGTCAGGGCTGAACCCAATGCTTGTTTTGCAGCATAGACTATTGGACACCAATTCATCTGCCCTGGGCAGATAGCAAGGCACACTGTAGGCAGTGCAATCTATTGAGCTATGTTTGTATGTCAAATGAGAATGAGGCCAGATTTCAGAATACCTAAATCTTTTACAAAGTCAGCACTGTCAAGATGTTTGGGGCATGTTTTTGGTCTGTGCTAACAAGGTGTCTCCTGGATGACTTCCAGACACAGAATCACAGAATAACAGAATCACAGAATGGTTAAGGTTGGAAGGGACCACTGGAGGTCATCTAGTCCAAACCCCCCGCTCAAGCAAGTTCATCTAGAGCACATTACTCAGGACCATGTCCAGATGGTTCTTCAATATCTCCAAGAAAGGAGACTTCACAATCTCCCTGGGCACCCTATTTCAATGCTCAGCCACCCTCACAGTAAAGATCTTCCTCATGTTCAGGTGAAACTTCCTGTGTTTTAATTTAGGACCACTGCCTCTCATCCTATTGCCTGACACAGTCCCAGCTTTTTCATAAGTCAAGAGCCACCCACAATAATCACTTTGGATCACTTTAGAGGCCAGGAAGGAATAGCAGTGTGGGCAAAGCAAAGACACCTAATCAGGGAACAAGCCCTGGAGGTGCCGAGTTTGCTATTGTAGATGTGGTCACAGGAAACATGGAAGCCATGCACTGCATAGGTGCATGATCTGTTTGGACATGAAGTGGATAAAAGCCTTATGTTAACCTTACCTGAGCTTTGCTGAAAATTGGGATACATTTGTTCATATCCAGAGCCAGGGCAAGTTACATCTAGACCCAAGGTTGTAAGTCCATACAACCCTCATCTGGATCCAAAGGATTACCATCCTAGGTCTTTGCACTGTATGTCATTCATGTACTGTATTTGCAACAAGCTGTTTTATATGAGTAACTAAAACCACACAGATATCTTCATCCAGGCATCATGTAGAAGGTTCATCCTACTGACCACTGCCTTAATGGCAACAGGAAATGCATAGGAAAGCTCAGACATTTTACTAGCTACCATCATACTAGTACCAGACAAGACTAATTTGTGGATCACTGATGATATTCCTACATTAACTCAAGGAGATTGAATAACAGAGCTTCCAAGTATTTGTACTTAAAAGAAAAAAAAAAATAAAAATCCATTCACTTAAAAGGAAAAAAAATCTATGGCATACCAATTCCCTTGCAATTCTGCAGACAAATACATAGATTGACTGTGAATTAACACTAACAGGATCTGTAATTGACTTATAGTTCTGTTTAGCCATAAACATTAGCATTAATGGATGTTCATGGTGTACAAGTGCTAAAGAAGAGACACTAGAGATGGCCTACGCATTATTTTTTGCGTGCTACATTTCTTCCATGACCCCATGAACCACAATTGATATCTAATTCCTTGCTTTCTCAAGCATCTTTTGTTAGGCTCTGATGCAATGGTAACTGGAACAATAATTAGAGTATAAGAGATTGAAAGCAAATGCCTCCTTCAGTGTCTTGCCTATCCAGACAAAATTCAGTAAACAGCCCAATTATATTTTAGAGATTCTCTGCAAAGGGGGTCTGTAAGGGTAGCTCTGTGATGTGGTGATTAGGACAGAGTGTGTTCAGCTCAAAGTCACAGTTCACATTCGGTTCAGGTCAGCAGCAGATGAAGGGGGAACCAGTCCTTAGCCCGACTTCCAGGGAAAGGAATCATTGTGTAGCCACAAACAAGCAGTAGGATGGTTCCAGCTCTGCTTCATCATGTCCTACACTGTTCCCCAGTGTAGGGCTGATCTGAGTCATGGGCTGAAGTTATCTATCCCCTTCCACCGACTG